GATAGTGGGGAAAAATGTAAGCAACCCAACATTGAAACTGTTTGGAACGTAAAGTTTCAAGGAAACTTTGAATGGGAAAAAATTTGTTATATAAAATTAGCAAATTTAAGGAAACACGAATTGCAAGCTTCAGTTGCAAGCTGCTGCTCAGCCTAATACCATGTAGGTTAACTTTTGGAAAATAGTAGATACAAGCGAATGTAAATATTGCCATGTAATAGATGACTACGAACACAAGTTCGTGTCTTGTTACCAAATTAAGGCCTTTTTGAAAACTTTTTTTAAGTTTCTAGAAAGAAATGACGTATGCAAAAGTATACCTAGGCCTACTTTAAAGCATACTGACCTTCTACAAATGATAATTGCTGGCCATAAAATAGGTCAAAACAATTTAATATGTTTAATTATTTTGTTATCATAGTTTCATTTTGTATATATAAGTTCCGTATTAAATATTATGATTTGAATGCTAAACCAAATTTATTTAAACTGTTAAAAACTCCGAAGCAAGGATTTCGATTTAAATATATAATTATTCTATGAACGTGTACTCGTGAATGTGTATGTATTTATGAAAGAATATTGTTGAATGAATGAATAGAATGAGAATTTTTTTCTAAATGCTGGATTGAAATCATGCATATAACTCTATGGAAATTTAAAATTTAAAATTAGATTATAACGTACATTTTTTAAATTATGAATATAATGATATGAAAATATACAATTCAATTATAATTGTTTAAAATTAGGAATATAGACTTTGACTAAAATGTATAATTTTTTTAAAATTATGAATGTTTAATAAATGTATGGAAAATGATGAAGAATATTAATAAATGTGTGGCTTTGCCACAAAAGAGAGAAAAAAAAATTGGTGTTTGTGTCTGTCAGCAAAAATCTCAGCATGCGTCACCACATCCCCTCCCAGCTCGATCATTCGCACGGCCCCAACCAAAATTTTCCACTGGTTGTATTTCATAAGGTAGGCCTACCATTCCAACATTTAAAAAATAGATTATTAACACTATAAAAATTCAGAAATGAGCAAAAATGTACGGGAAAAATCTGTAAAAGGTATCCGACCCTGACCAGTTTGTCGGAATCCGTTTGCCAAACCCGGTTTACCGAGTTTATATGGCCAATTTGCCAAAACCCAGTTTGCCGAATCCATGGCACCGAAAACATGAGAACCTTTGCCGAATCTTGTCGTCACCGTCGTACAAAAGTGCAGCACACATTGATTAGTTTCATGCCCACACATACACTCCTAACCAACATTTTTATGCTTTTTTGTTTGTAAACATGTTTACAACCTACTTCGCATTAAGTAGAATTCAATTGCTGTTCTTGAAAGAGATCGTTGCAATGCAACTTTTCTGATATTATACTGTAAAATTACGTGTAGGCCTATTTGCTGAAATCTAAAAAGAATGGCAATGAGACACGAAAACATAATCAATGCTATTTATCTGTGATTGTTTCGACTAGAGGTCTTTCAATATGCACATTTTAAAGAAAATCAACTTTTTTTGTCCCAACGATGACGGGGCTGAGGTGGTTGTAAAATCACGGCTTTGAAGTATGTATAATAAAGTACATAGGAACACCAAAGACAATGTTTTTAAGCTTTATTTTCCTACGCAGGTGCGTCGGAAGCAATTTTTTTATTAGTCCGGCCAAATACGACGATCCCCACCCCATGACAGATAACAATAAAAAGAGATCATATGAAAAACCGTTGGTCAACTATTTAATCACTTTCATACACTGAAACCATGACAGTCGAGAGACGGCCCGCCAAAAAGCATCACGTGAATAAAACTCTGACATCAGGTCAGATAAACATAAACACTATCACCCCACACCTCACCTCACCTTACATTGCCCATGGCGGAGGGGGTGGGGTTTTAATAGACTATGTCCTTACAGGGCATCGTATTCTTGCCGGTATTTACGCAAGAAAACTTTACATTTACAGAGAAGATTTCTACCGACCTATAGGTAAGGGGCCTAAGACAAACTCTTATGTTTAACAAAAAATCACGCGAAGACAAACTCTTAGGTTTAACAAAAAATCACGCAGAAAAATAGATTAATATTTCAAAATTTTTTTATTTAAGCTTTGCAGTCTCTCCGGAGACTTCCATATTACTGACAAATGGAATTTAAACGGATCATTGTTAGTGTGACAGGTTATATTATGGCCTGTAATTAGACCTACACGATTTATGTAATACAATATTAAAACAATGTCTGTTTATATACACGAGTTACCGGATATAATATTGGAGCATAACTAACAAGATGCTCCTTAACTCATTAAAGTGCAAGTCGATGCGCATAACTAGGTCATCAAGGCTACAAAATAGTGCTCATGTATATAATATTGGTTTAAACTCTCTGACTCAGGTTAGCTCTTATAAATACATAGGAATAAATTTTACTTCAAAATTGGACTGGGGGTTGCATGTTTCGAAGACGAGATCTAAGGCTTCTAAATTGCTGGGGTTCATTAAACGAATCGTGCGCTGTAGAGACGAAATCGTAATTCCGAAATTATTTTGTGCAATAGTTCGTCCAATTATAGAGTACGCCATCCCCGCAGTAACCGGTTGTTGTTTTTTATGTATTTTATTGAGACAAAATAAATGAAATGAAATGAAATGAAATGAAATATGTATTGTATGCAATGAAATAAACAATATTTTCGGATTGCACAAGGTACGGTATATTATATTATCTTTTACAATCATTATAAAACTCAGTATTTTTTCAGGCTTTGGATGTGATGTACAGTATTCATTAAGAATCAAGTTGCCAAAAATATACTATGTTCAGTAGCGGATCTAGGATTTAGCAATGGGGGTGAATAATGCAAGGGTACAGATCCCTTTGGCAAGGGCACAGATCTGTTTCGAAAGGTGAGGGGGACATTTCGTTAGTCCACACCCACCATGTTGTACAGCACCCTTTCGTTAAAACCTGGGTCATTTAAGCAGTTCATTTCAACAATATTCAGGCATCTTCTTGACTTACGAAGTTATTACATTGCTGACGAAAAGTGAGGAGACCAACACCCACCCACCCCTTAAAATATTTGGGGAGGTGTTCCACTGTCCCCCATTGATCATGGGTGTTGGAGGGCCGCCCGGCCCTTCCAATTGAAATTAGTTTGGAATTAGTAGAGGGCTAGACGCTCTTGGATGACATCTGAAAAGAAGTTAAGCTTAAAATAGAAAGTGTATCCATTAGGAGAGTTGCCTACTCACGTAACATGTATAGGCCTACATGAGAAGCACACACACAAAACGAGTGACCAAATTTTTTTTTCTAGCCACCCTATTCATCATCCCGGTATTTCTGAGTCGAGGTTTTGGGCCGTAATAAAAGATTGCTAGTACAAGTAAAATGTTTTACTAGAATTAATGTAATCTTCTAGTCATCTAAAGGTAAAATTATCCCCCACCGGACATCATCCATGTATTTTTAAGTCTAGGTTTCGGTGCCGGAAGATTATTATTTACGTGGTAAATCAAATCATGAAAAATAAGCCTAAGCTATTGATACTTACTACAGTAAATATGAAATAATTTCAAATTTGTTCCATTTTCAATAGGCTGATTTTGCAAGTTATGTTTGTAGTTTTTTTTTGTTTACGTTGTAGTTGATAAGTTATTTGATCCGTATAAATGAGATATGGAACATTTGGATAGATTTTTTACTAATAAGCAAAACAATACTTGTCCAAAGTTGTAATCTGTATTATTTGGTTTGTTTTTGTTGCGGAGATTACTATTGTGTTCCTGAATAATGACCAATTTTCAGTCGACCATTGTTTTTCTAAATTATTGAGGGTTGACTTGCGCTTCATAACCACAAGGGAAAGGCGCAATATAAATACCCAGTACCAGTACTATTATATTACATCCATTCAGAAAAAAAACCCCTATATTTGAGACAGATTCAGGGGTGGTACCAGCGGGGGACCGGTGGGCCACTCCACTCCCCTCCCCTCCCCCCATTAAATAAGCCCCTGAAATCCATAAATTCCTGTCCTGGACCCCACCGTGGTCTCTAGGCGGCCCTCAGCCTCAGACTCACTTCTGTCGCAAAACATACTATCATCCCTCATCGAAAATCCTGTCTACAGGCCTGCTTTAACATAATAATTATGATGATAATGAGGTGGTGGACGAAGATAATGCGAGCAAAGTGAACTCACCTGGGACCAGTAAACCACTAACCCTCCCCCCCCCCCCCTCCCCCGGGGTGCAGGTGCGGCCCTGAAAAAATTCTAGTGGTTCTGATGTACTGGAAGCCTAATTTGAAAGACTTGGCTTGGTTTTCGTGCCAATATTGGGGCATTTTTTTGCAAGGCACTTTTACATGTTTGCCTTTTTCCACATGGAAGATGAATGAAAATGGAATTGCAGTAAACCTACATGCATGCATGACCAAGAATACGAGTAAAAAACAATGCTTCATATTATTCAATGGTGGTTGGAACGGTAGGGGCTCCAAGGGCTTTACGGTACAACCAATGGATCTAGGCCAGATTTCAGAAATCCAGTTTGCTGAATACCAGGATGCCAGCACCCTCGGTAAGGGTATTGGCATAAAAAACCCTAGTAGGGTTCGCGAGGAAAGTTTATTTATGCTTTATAATGGCCAAAAAGTGTGCTTCCAGACCATAATAGGATTGGCAATACAAAATAATGTTATTTGAATAGGCAAATTATTGTTTTTGTCCGACAACCTCGTCGTGGTTTTTGGTGAGGCATTCAAATGCCCTCCCTGACCCCCTGCTGATGCCATCACTGAGTGCATATGGGCTTTAACATTAAATAACAGGTTTGGTAAATCAGTAATGTATATTCTGCAAATTCGGCAAACTGGGTTGTCATGATTATAGATCGGTGAACTGGTATTCGGCAAACTGGGTTTCGGCAAATTTGTCAGATATGGAATAAACACTTCACCAACAACAAACTTGTAAAATCTTGTATTATTGCCAACAGAGATACTGTTTTATTACTGTAGTGTAATATACCTTATCACCCAGCCAGTGAAAGGTGTAACATACACAATGATCAACATTCAATAAGAAAGAATCATGTAATGCTTATGTCTACAGTATACTTGACTAGTAAATAATGTTATTAGAAAGCAATATACAATGGAGTTTTCTATTATTTAAAATTTGTGTAATGCACTCTTTTTCTTATGCCACTTAGATTTCTTCAGGGATTAAATTTTCAGACAATCATCAAAAATCAGAAAAGACAACAAATAGAAAGAAATAATTAAAAAAAAAAAGACATAAAATCAAGCAAAGCACATGTGTGGTGGATTGCCTAAAAAGCCGAAGCTTATCAAGAGGCTTTCCAACTTAAAAAAAAAAAAGAAGAAAACAGTAATGATTGGTACAAAAAAAAAATTAATGTAAAAAATGTAAATATTCAAAAAATAAAAAAAGAAGATATTTAGTTTACTTCTTTTTACATTCTTTCTCCTTTTTCTGCAAGAGGCATTTAAATGAATTTTTTATTTCTCTTTACAGCCAGAAACATTTACTGGTTTACCGTTTAGCTCAGACACGAAGAGACCCTTAGGGAAAAAGTTGTTGTACGAGGTAGTCCACACCTCAAGCGTTTTGAAACTTTGGTATAAAGCGCTATATAAATCTAACTACATTACATTAAAATAAACTCATCCTTTAGGGACCCTTCACATGATAATTTCTTACCAGTGTATGATATGCTACAACAAGTTTTCCTCCAATATTAAAGACCACTTTTGGGACAAGTGTATCCATGGTCTTTGGTCTGTAATTAGAATAATAAATATTTGTTAATAAAATAAATGGTCTTAAATTAGAAGTAGTCTTAACTTGGAGGGGTTTTTAATTAAAGGAAGACTATACACTATGGTAATTTCTAAGTTTCAACTTTACAGTGACATGATAACATCTATCTAATCATAAAAAAGTGGCAGGATAGTAATGGAGAATATTTCGCTTTAATTTTTTTTTAAATGCAACAGAGAACTTTTTAGTTTTTCCTTTTCTTCAGTAGACATGTATGGCAGGACTTTTGCATGGATTCCAGACAACCCTTGGTTTGATTTACTAGCATCACTCTGGATACTACCACTACAGCTGCTGCTGCTGCTACTACAACAAATACTACTACTACTAGATACTTTAATCTGTTGACTAGCACCAAGAGCAATGCGAGAGAACGGTATCATCAGACCAGACCCAGCAGAGCCTTTTGGTGGAGAGGTTGACATACTATAGGCAACAGCATTTGCTTTTGAGAAAGAGCTTATTATACCAGACACATTAGAGCTACCAGTTCCTTTAGGTGGAGAGGTTTTGATAGGAACAGCCTTTGGAACAGACTCTAGAGTAGTTGATGACACTTGTTTAGTTACAGGATCAGCAACATGTGAACTAAATGCCAATGAATCCTTAATTAACGGTTCTTGCCTTGACAATGAAATTGATGCTTTTACGATTGCATGTGTTTTTTCTTTAATTCCTTTTAAAGATATGGAAGTGTCTTTTGTGTTTAGTTTGGACTCATCTGATCTTCTTTGATCCAGTATGGTGGCTTCCGGTTCTTCATCACTTAACACTTGCAACAAAGGTTTCTTTGACTCCTTGGTTTCATGACCCAAGTTGAGGACTCTCTTTGTAGCTTTTGTGGTGGTGACTTCTTTTCTTGCAGAAAATGATGTTGCAAAATGTTTAAACTGATCAGCAAATGTTGTTGCAGTCATTCCTCTTAATGGATTAGCATCATCAGTTACTGTTTTTCTAATTGTGTTGAGTATGAGATCACTGATTCTACTTGTCGTGGGAGTACCATCACTGTCTTTGCTTGTAGTCGGGATATCATTGTTCTTACTTGTGGTTGGAGTGGCATCACTGTTTTTACTTGTGGGTACAACATCATACTTTGATGAATCTTTTGTAGCCTTTGATTGTATCGATGGTGTATGTGGAGTCTACAACACAAAGAAAATACTCATAAAAGCTAGATATCAGATGATTTGTGCATCAAAAAATCAATGTGCTTTTTTTTACAGAAGTATAATCTGAAATGAAGTTGTTGAAAAGGATGTCTTACTTGTGGGGGTTTACTGCACTCTATACTTGTACAATACCTTACAGCTTGCTCTAGAACACATGGCATGTTATCAACCTTTAAGATAAAACATATTTAAACTAACATTATAATTAAGTCAATATATATGAGTTAAGTCATATACATTAGGCAAATTTTTAAATAAAATGGAAAACATACAAAATTGGCATTAATAGTCAGCTACATAGTGAATTGTAACACTGTACTGTTGTAAACTGAATATACAATTACTATACTATAAAATATACTGCTGCCTATTTGGTGCTAGGGTGGCGTATGAATATCTCATTGTTTTGCAGTGAGCTGTGAAAATGTGATGATTGTCCCATGTGGGGAGAAGAGAATGACAATGAAAGAATTAAGTATATAGTTCATTGTAACTGGTGTCATTAAAAATTAAAATTCCAGTAAATAATGAACACTATCTTTAGTTATTATTATATAAGAGGTGAGAGACTTCATATAAACATTGTCATGCTGGATGAACCTCATATAAACATTGTTATGCTGGCTGAGGTTATGGGTATTTTGAGACATTTCTGTTTTTATTGCATCGCTCATCTGAAACCTAACTTTTAGTGTTGAGCTGTCTTATGTAGGTCACCTTGCCTAGGGTGCAGGTAGGTCACTGTAGGGCAGATAAAGATTCTTTCTAAGCTAATTAATTATTTCATTGTTTATGGCAAGTGCTGTATAGAAATTGCAGATTTATTATATTGTTATAATTATTGTTAATCAATTGTGGTGATGTTTTACCCATCTATGTAATTTATTAGAGGGAAAAATAATATTAGGCTAACGTTTACATGGGCTGTCAGGTACGGTTTGTATAGAAAATGGTTGCTAGAACATTTTGTCCATTAGGGGAGATCGTCAGAGGAGAGTGGAAAAAAAATTTCCTCACATCTTGCCAAAAAACATCCAGATGGAGGAGAAAAAAAAATGTATAGTATGTACATAATTAGGAAGGAATATACATACTGTACTTTATTTTTGGAGATTTCAAGTCTGCAGCAGGCATAATAAAATTAAAGAAAAACTCATTACATACATTTTTTCGTGGCAGTGTGTGCACTAATTGGCCAAAATAAATTTTATTTTTATTTGAAATCATCATTATTAATTTTGGGATATAGCAGTGTTCTCCCAACTGAAAAATTTTTACTGGTAAATTTGTCCATAAAAAATTGCAGTGCGCACAATGTGAGGTACGTTACCCCTTTTTAGTTGGGTTAAATGATTTGAAGACAAAACAACACATATTCATAGTGTAGATATAGACTGGAATGATGTTAATTTATTAAGAGGGCCAGCCTGGACTACCTAAGCTTAATTAATAGTTTTTTTTATTTTACAAACTCAAAATTTTTACTGGTTGGTTGGTTATTTTTACCGGTAAAATTGACGGCTAATACGGCTTCGGGAGAACACTGGATATAGGCAATATCATAACTGCAGGGGTTGTTCTTCCTTGTGTTTTACTTGACTGTTGGATTTTTCAATTGGTAAAAAATAATAAAACCATATCAGCAGGTATATCATTGGAGAAGTGTCTATAACCCCGGTCTATAACAAACAGTACCATACAGAAGTACTGTAAGCTTTCATCAGAATATTTTCCATACACAAAGTAATTTTATTCTTACCTTACATTCTTTGAAATTGCAAAATGCTTCAATAAGGAGGTTATTTGTTGATTTAGCCGTAATCTGGAGTTTGTTCTGTCTCACTTGATTGGCATGATAGACAAACATTAACACCTTTTGCTGCTCTTCTTTTGGCCCTGACTGGCACAATTCTATGAGGTCTTTTAAAACTACTAGGCATTTTTCATATGACTGTTTCGAAAGGAACTGCCGATCCTGGTCTCTCAAGTACTTTCTATTAGAAAGGAACATTAAAGCTATTTAACCCATATCAAGTAATACTTTATGTATAATTTAATTAAAAATCTTTCATGCAGGTAAAACTTTAATACCCAACGCAAAACAAATTTCATTTTTACAAGACCTAATAAAAACACATATGCATTTATTTTCAGGCTAACATTTGGCTTTTCCTGCACTAGCAGAAAATCCACTGTTACTGTTCTGATCTCTTGGCTCTTAAACATGTGGAAAATCCACTGTTTGCGTTTTCTAAAGGGCCTTAAACTAGCTACAGCAAGGATAATGTGAAAAATTACTGTGAAATACATAAACAATTTTCGCTCTCAACCAATGAAATTATGCAAAGGTAGTTAACTAAAGATACACTGCCCTCTGCAGGGTTGGGTTCTATGGTGCAATGGTAAAAAACATCCACATAACCCTCACTATTACCATTGCAGCCCTGGTTTGAGTCTCACTGATATTGAGTGGGATTCCGTGTTTTGCTTCCTAATTTTGTTTTTCATATATTTTGGTCTTATAATTTTTTAAAACATTTTCTTTTTAGTTCCAACAACAGTTCTCATTATGCCAATGAGGAAAAGTCCTAGATTCTGTTTACATAGTAAGTATAGTTGGAATTAACCTTGTTTTATACTTCGGCTGAACAATGAAATTGAGGTGCATAAAGAAAGGCGACATTTTTCATTGTACTGCCATCGACTAAATTAAATTACAATTGAATTATTTCAAAAATAAATCATTACACAAAAATAACTTGCTGGAATTGTAATAAATTTGTTTATACCAATTTTAGTTTTAAAATTACAATAAATAAAAAACCAATGTCAGTCATAGGATTTCATTATGATTCACACCATTTTAGTGTTAATAAAATCACTTGTATAACATAATTATTAAAAAAAAAACAAAAAAAAAACATTTCCTCTGGAGCCTGGCTTTAATGCAGAAGGAAAGTGAATTCCAGGGAGCTTAGTATTAACAGCAATGGTAATCGTACTGACATTGGCAAAAAGAAGTTCTATTTGGAAGGTGAAAGACCCAACAGACGCATATGTGATGTTTTCTACACTGACGATGCAGCTGCCTTGGCTGCCCGGGCGCACACCTCCACTCCAGGCTTCAGTATTAACAACAATTTTTCACATGTTTGGTTAGCTATAACCGTACCATACGTGTTGGTCGGCATCTTCGCTGAAAACACAGGGATGTCTACCATCAACAACTGTTACTTGATCAGCACAAGTTTGTTGATAAACTGATCAAGAAAGCCAAAGTGGAAGCGATTAAGTCTGAATTTCCTGAGGACATCAAGTCACCATATAGGGAAGTGAACTCCCTTTTCAACAAGGATCAGAAACACCTTCCTACTCATGATGCTACTCTGCAACAACTTTGCGTATTTCTTTGTTGTAAAAATATTAAAGACCCAAAATGCTATCATTGAAGAGTCAGTCTTAATTAACAGCACTGCATCTAATATCCAACCATCTGAACTGATTAAGAGTAATTTTTCATATTTTGATTAAGTGTCAGTAGATGACATATTTGCTAGTATTAACAAGGTTCAATCTTAATTTGTTCTCTTAATCCCTTGCCAGTTTAAGTCATCAAACAGAATCCTACTGTTTTATATGGCATTCATTTTTTGTTACAATGGGAAAATTTGATATACATGCTTTAGAAAGTGTTGGGATGAAATTTCAATTTGGGTGTAAACTGTTTCTGAAAACTAAAAGTACAAATCATCATGCAAAACTGACCCTTGTAAACTATGTGAAGAGTGTCTATCCTTGTAAACCAATGGGAGTGCACTTGTATACCAATGATAAAGAAAAGGCACCTATGGCTCTCTTCACCCATGAGATTAACTCTAAAAAAAAATTTATTTATTTATTTATTTATTTTTTTTTTTAATAAATAAATTTAGAACCAGGGATGTATATACTGTCTCTTATACACATCTATAAATATGAGTTTATATTCTTCAGCACCAACAATATAGTAAAAACATTTTAAAGTCACGTTTAATGGCAGAGAGGTTACAAACAAAGCATGTATAAGTATCTTGGTTGTCTTCTCGATAATATTAGCGGTAAATCAATGGCACTAAGTTCTATTAATAAAATCAATGCTAGAATTAGGTTTCTGTATCGGAATGTGAAGTGTCTTATCCAATTTACCAGGAAACATTTATGTAATACACTAATATTAGGTCATCATGACTATGGGTGTACTACATGGTTTAATGGTTTAAATAGACACATTAAAAAGAAATTACAATCAGCCCAAAACAAAACAGTTCGTTTTTTGTGGGTAAGAGTCCACGCACTCATATTGGCCAAAATGAACTTCTGTTGTCTACCTTAACACAGAAAATAGAGTGAAGTTTTTACAACTTGTACATGTACATAAGGTATGTGCATAAAGTAAGGTATAATTCTATTCCATATATGTATGACCATTTTATAAAAATTTCTAATGTAAAACCAGAAATAGGAGATATAGTACAATTTCAAGATACCACGTTTAAATGGCATAGGACAATCAACTTTTTATTATAATGCAATGAAGTCTTTGAATTAACTGCCAGAGCATATTAAGGCCACCAATAATGCATATAGTTGTAAAACCCTTGTTAAGAATTATCTCTGTGCATGAGATCATCTTTTTTTATTTTTTTTTTTGCATTTTTTTTGTTGACATTATTTAATTTTTTTATTATTTTTTTTATTTACTGTGCATTTTTAAATAATTTTATCGCGCCACTTTTTAAAAATGAATTTTCATATTGTTCCATGGTACTTGTTTTAATTCACTTCTTGTTATGGACCCAAATGGAAATAAGTTTTACTTTCGGTTAAAATTTTATTTGGTTATCCTCATTCAATTAGTTCATTTTAACGTGTACTTTGTATTTTTATGCGTGCTCGTTTTATCTGACGTTTTATGGAACCAAATAAATATATCAATCAATAGTATAGCCTTATGTACCTTGTTATCATAAAGCAATATCACTTGGTGTCAATATATAGTTTTTGAAATTAATCTATCTACACAAACAAGACTTTAACGTATTTATGTATAGATCCAAACAAATTATATATTTTTTTGCAGCATATCTGAGACATCCTCTTATATATATTTAGAATATATTTAGTGAGTTGACCATGGTAAGTTGGGCCCTCATAATTCTGACACCCACCCCCCTAAATTTGAACCCAGATCTGCCTCTGGCATTCCTCTGGTCTCTATTGTTGGACCATATTATTTTTCTCCCTGTATATAGTAATTGTAGGGGAGATTATGCACAGGCATGATGCAGGGTCAATGTATGTTGATGACATTCAATTGTATGTTCCTTTTCTGCCTAAGAGTTCTAAATTAATTTCATCTGGCTGCTTACATAAAAAAAAAAACTGCATTAATAGTAAAGTTAAGTTGTGGAAGAGTAAGAACATGCTAAAGCTCAATGAACAGAAGACAGAATTCTTCATCGCTGTTCCTCAATATCTTAAAAAGACTATTTAACCTTCTGATAATTTGTATGATTTTGATTCCTCGATGACCATGTCACTGCATCTTTGCAGGCTCTGCAGCTGTCTTCAGTCACATATTCATAGCATCTCTCAAAGGCTTTTTTGGTGTTTCAGGAAAAGCCAAACCAAAAATTTACCTTTAAACTGCTTTTCTTTAATCTTACTTATTTTGGAATAACAAACTCCATTCTAAAATAATACTGTTCATTTTAAAAGTCAATAATAAAACATACTTGTTGAGCTCAGGTGTTCTGTTGAGTTTGACGGACAGTTGAAGCAACATCTGGTGATCGTTTAACTGTAGGAGAACACTGATAAGAAGGCTGATTGCTCGATACATGTGAGATGGAAAACTACCTGACCTACAATAAAAATTAAACCTGATTTATCAAAACAAGTATCAAATATTTTGTATGTTATGGCAACTCAATTTTAAAAATTTTTTATAATTTTTCTCTTTTATACAGAATTTAATAAGTATATTATTATGATTTTGATGGCATTTTGTGTCAGGAGAAATAATACGAAATGATGTTTGCCCTACCTGAAGTCTTATTTGTACTGAATGCTCAGTACCTGTTTTAATACCAATGTAACATATATTCGCATCTGAGGAAATGACAGTGTATGCAGGGCCCACGCAGGGATGCTTCAAAGGTAGTATCATTAATGAGGTTGTCAATGTGAATGCTCACATCATCAAAGTGATGAAATGCAGATTTGAGTCATGTGTCAAACAAGAGATACAGGTCACTTTTTGCGTATTCCTTGAAATCATATCATGAGATTCGCATCCCAAACTTGTTATTTGGTTCATGCTTTGCACATTCTGGGGAAACTGAATCTAGAAATGTGCATTATTCCTATTCTTATTTGAACACCCTGAATTACTGAAGCTAAATTCTCAGTACCTTAAAATGAATAAAAATGGGCTAGCATACTAGAGTACCATGGTGTGGTAAAATTAGAAATTGCCAAAAACATTAAAACTTCTCTGCAGCCACAGCAAATAGTACACTAAAGCTGTAGTTTTACCCCTCGTCCATAAAGTATTAAGGCTTGCTTCAGTGACCACATGTATTAGCTTTGGCCCATGAGATTAACTCTAAAAAAAAATTTATTTATTTATTTATTTATTTTTTTTTTTAATAAATAAATTTAGAACCAGGGATGTATATATTTGTGAATTGCTTTCATTTATTAAGACAAACAAAAAAATGAAATGAAATTCAATCATGTAACAATCACAATAATCCCTAATGTTCTTAATACCTATCAATCTCCTCAACTGGTATCCTCCAGATTCCTTGAAAGAAGTTCTTTGTCTTGTTAGCATCAGCAAACAAGGCTGGAGCAGCAAGATGAGGTATTTGATTCCATGGTGTGCTTGTGCCTAGCAAAGTATCACGACTCCATCTATCATTCTGCAGTAAGAATAAATCGTCTAGATAAACTGAAAATGTAGTACATTATTTTGTTTCTGATCGGATATTTATTGGATAAAGAATAGTCGTTTGTCAATTACAGGTTGGAAGCAAAACTAAAATTGTCTAATTTCAACTATGAATCAACACTAATTTAAAGTAATCATATTAGAAATGTTTAAAATATTTAAAATACACACGCAAAACAGTTAAAATAAGACACATTACAAGATCAAAATACATTAAGGAAAATGGACAAAAACTGAAATACAAAAAGAGGAGGGAAAATAAATAAATAAAATAGCAACAATCATAACACTATAAAAAAAAATGGTATATAAAAAAGGGGAGACATTAAAAAAAAAACTATATACTGAGTACTGAAAAAAGCCTACAGAAATCTTGGGGGAGAAGGAACTCGAGGAGGGGGGGCTTCACCACTTGGCAAATACCTTATGATTTAAAATGAAGTTACAAGACCGCTTTGTTCTGACTTTGGGCAACTTTAACTCTCTAGAAGTTCAAAGGTTATAGTTGATAATTGCTTTATTATGTAGCAAACTATGAAGTACAGCCCCAGGTTTTTAACATTAGTGAAGTATTCACATTATGTATGCTACCTCCATGAAGTTTTTTGATGTACTCAATATGACTAAATGTCTAATCAGGAGAATTTTGGGAATTTATAAGTTGATTAATAATTATTAAGTGGTTAATTATGCTTATCATTTACAGCACCAGTTAGAATTAAATCTCTTTCCAATTACCAAGTTTAGGTACTTTTTTTTATTAGACCCCATTATATTATCCCAACCGTAAAACCTCTAATCTAGAGAAACTGGCCAATTTAAGGCTGGTGGTTAACTCTGAACTAAGAATAAACAGGACTGAACACAATAACTGTAGACCTACAGTGTAGTGAGCCTAACATTTTAGGATCTAACCAAACAAAGAAATTGGGAATTCTACCTTATGTGTTGGTACATAGTGATACACATGTGCCATTCGATACAAGGCCTTGTAATGCTGTGAGAAACGTGACAGACATAACTTTAATCCCTGAAGGCATTCATTGATTAACTGTACATGTTCCTCAGAGTTCCTCAGGTCAGATTCTTCTGTTTTAAAACTGTCCTTATCACCACAATTGTTTGGAGATAAGTCTTTTAGAACTGGGTTTTCAACAACTGGGTCTTCCATGTACATATTTTCACTTCTGATTTTTCCTTCATTTGTTGTTTCAATTGCTTCCACACTTTTCTCCTCTGGGTTCACTTGATCTGTTTTGCCTTTCTCCAGATCTTCCTTTTTATTTGTTGTATCCACACTTTCCTGGTTTTCATTTTTTACATTTGTTGCCATCTTTTCCTCTTTTATTTTCTTTTCATGATCAATTTTCGTTTTTCTCTCATCTCTTGTATCATTTTTTCCCTGAACTTTGTCTTCCAGTTTAACCTCATCTGCTCCTTCAATGTTCTCCTCATCTTCCTTTTCACTTACTCTATCTATCTTTTCCTGGTGTCCTTCTCTCACATTTGGATCCATCATTTTTTCCATTATTTTCCCTTCATTTTCTTCAAGTCCAATTGATTTAGTGTATCTTTCAAAAGCTCCTTCACTTTGATGTTGATTACTGGCAGTTATTCCTATATTCCTGATTGATCGAACACACAGTATCTCATCTTTGTATCCTTCTTTTCTTTCCAAGTTTCCTTCTCTGGTATGTCCAAAAAGTTCATTTTCACTGATATCCTTCTCCTCTTCAACTCCAGCTTCTTTACCATTTGTTGGTAGTGTAAATGCCTTCTCTTCCATCTGACTTCTTTCATTGTCTTTTAAATCTTCTTTATACTCATCATTCTTTTCTGTAATACCACTAGCGCTCATTGATTCATAATCTTTCTTTTTATTATCTTGACATTTTGAGGTAAAAAACTCCTCCTCCATTTCAATATCAACAGCTGTTTCCAATCGGTTCATGTCCTTCTCAGGCTTAGATTTCACCAAGGAATGGTAGCCCTTTACAGGGTTGCTTGCTATCTCACTGAAACCTACAGCTACTGTTTGGCTAGAAGCATCATCTGTTGACAGACGTTGATCAGATTTAGTTACATTAAGTTGACTTGGTGTTGGCAGGTTCTCGTCTACTTCAGTTAATGGCAATGACTTTAACTTGTTTCCAATTACATGCATCTCTGGCACACTTTCAGTAGTTTCCCTATGTACTATGGAGTCTAACTGATTATTTGAACACTGATCAATGGTCTTACTGTCTTCTATTTTTGTTTCAATAGACATTTCAACAGGCTTTTCAGATACTTGAATTTCTGATCCATCTTCACTTTCAGTCTGGCTGAAACCACTTTCTTCTACAGATTCCTTAGAACACAGCAATGGTGACTTTAGGAATGCCATTTGAAATTTTGAAATATGTTGTGAAGGTTCTAGTGTAGTACCAAGAACATGCTTCTGCTTGAATCGATAAGGATTTGTACCTGCGCCCAGCATTTTTGATTGATTAGAACTGATAGTAGGCCCTTTACTATCATTTGCTTGAATATTGTAATCATCCTTATAAGCACTTACTTGCCAATCACTTTGCATAGCACAAGTCGAATGTGCATCTGAATTAGTGGTCTGTTTTTCTGTATCCATTGCAACTACATCCTTTACACTATTGCCTTGGTCCATAGCAGAATTTATCAGATTGTTCTCCTCCTCACTGTCATGAACAGAATTTGAACCTACAGTTTTAACTGTATCCATGATGTTTGCTTCCATTGAGATCCCTGAGATCCCTGAATGTGACGGTAATGGCTCTTCAAACATTGTAGTAAATTTCTTAGAGACCACATCAGTTTCCATTGCAGTTTCAGATGTTTCTTTTGACATTACAGTAGTATCCATTTCTGGTACAAACTCTTTGGAAGATACAGTGGTCTCTTTAAAAGCTGTGGCTGCAGTATTTCTAGCATTGTCAACACATTCAATTACAGCATCAGAGCTAAAAACCATGTCGGCAATCCTCTCCTTTAAGTTACCTTCCAAATTCATTGTATCATCAGCTGACTCTTTATCCATTGCCATTTCAGATGGGTCTTTAGCCATTACGGTAGCATCCATTATAGTCCTAGGTGCTAACTCTTTGGGAAATGCAGCGGTCTCATCCTTTAAGTTACCTTCTGATATGATGTTTGTATCATTAGCTGACTCATCTGAGATAATTCTTTTTGAATTACTTTCCTCGTACAACTCTACAATAGATGAATCCCTTATTGCCTCCTCTCCCATTGAAGACTCTACCACAGGATTTTTGAAAGATGTTTCTGTTTTAGCAAACTGTTCAATTTGTTTTTCAGTTGATCCATGAACATCAGATTTTACAGCTTCAGATGTTTTCTCCAGGAACCGCTCTTTATAAAGTGAACTTTTTTTTTCATCTGTCAGTAGATGGAATACGTCTGCTGGTTTTGCTGATCTTATTCCTCCATGGAATAATAATATATCAGTAGGTCTAGGAGAAATTGGTTCATCCCCAGAAGAAAAGAAATCCAAATCTGAAGCAGTATCTATAACAAAAATACATGCATCAATTTAATTTTTTTTTCTCTTTCCGCTTGCCTTTACAACAAATTATTTTCAAAAGTGGAATTTTAATGTGAACCCACTTATGCATGAAAAACACAAAGTTTTCAATAAATATCTTCTTTGGAATTCATCCTATTGAAAAGCAAATTATAGTTGAACAGCGCTTTTACAATAACAAATCATTAAACATAAGCCTTCAATCACACAGAAAGCTTTTTATAAGCGACTGATATCATAGTTTTAGAATGCCACACCAACAGTACATACCTGTTGATTCTTGGCTGGCAGTTCTTGAGACCCTTTTGCTGGTTTCAAAATAATTATGATCCATCAGTTGTTGAATTGAATTCTGGCTCCCTGCTGATGATTGATAATTATAAGTTTTTGGATTCACTGGTTTTCCATCTGTGTCAGGATCACTAGTAGAACTAAAGAGTGAAATTTAATTAGTTTTTCTCCTCTACCATTTGAGCGGTTGGACAATGGTGTTTTGTAGTTAGTATCCTGTAAGTAGTCTTTGTGTAATCTATTAATTAGGCCTCTTGTCATGAGTAAATACTGTATGTACAGTTACACTTTAGAATAAATATATTATCTAAACTACTGTAAATGAATAAATGGATATGTAGTATAAATGTTACACCACTATCTTTTATCAGTGGCGGACCAAGGAAATCAAAATAGAGGGGTCCCAGGGAGAGCCTTTAACAGATAGAGAGTCCAAGCACTTCAGAGCCACCATGATTAAAAAAGTATGATTTTGGCAACTCTGGATGGCACTCTCATACTTAAATTTTTTTTTTCTCCATTCGTTTACTTAATTTTGAAAAGTTTAGGGTAGCCAAACAAGTTTACAGCCTTCAACCATACTTATTATCTTTTAAACAATCAATGCGAACTCCCTTATGTAAATTTAGAATATTGCCACACTCGGTAGAAGTTGAAAAAGAAAGATAAGCTTCTCCCCCAACTCCATCCGGACTTAGACTGCCCTGCCACCTGTAACTCAGGAAATGATGAAGACGAGTTACATTTTTTATTAAATTGTAATTACCATGATCATCTTCATTTCAAGATTATATACGATTTAAAAGACCAGATGTTTTTGTACACCCCCTATCTTTTTAACATTAAGAGCACTACTGATCATGATATTATTTTAACATTATCAACCTTTGTTAAAGAAGCTTTTCTTTTAAGAACATCTATTGGTTTGTAATTTATCAGACTTATTTGAACATGTGATTGTATGTTGTTTAATTTAACCTTTGTAAATATGACCCTACTGTCAATAAAATAATTGAAGAATTATTAGTTTTTGAAAATGTACGAACGTAGACTACTGTATACTAAACAGTAAACAATACAGACCGGAGTATAAAATGGCTTGATTAGTGGGAGTTGCATCCCAAAAGCTATATAAAGTAGATTTTTGCATTCGTGTGTAGTTTATTAGTTATTCTAAATTATATTTTAAATTTGTTTTCACATCTTAATGTAAAATTTTAAGAGTTTTGACCTTCCATTTTGTAAGAGAAAAATGTTGTGAATTTTCAAAACCAAAAAGTTCCAGAACCAAAATCATAGTTTTAATCATTATTTACACTATTAGATTAGTTATTAATTATATATTGCATTTAATGCCAACATAACCCAATTTTCAACACATACAAAATTGTTAAAATTCAATTTCCATGATATGCACCCTCACAATGAATTAAAATACATGACCAATGCGGCTGTTTGACTCAGATTTCTGATATAGAAACAACAGTAGAAACATATCAAGAAACTTCACAAAGTTTAGTAGAAATTGCTCCTGTATTTTTCTTGTTATTTCTCATGTCCTATTCTAAGTCATAAAATATTATTGGGTATCTTGTTTAATTAGCATTCAGGCGTAATTACGACAAAGTTCTACTTAACATGCATTTTGAAAAAATGAAATCATGCTTACTAATCTCTTCCCTCAGCTTTCTTCTCCAGCCCTCTTGCAAATGGAAACTGCCTTGCTTCACTGATGTATTTCTTCAGCAATTTATAGTCAATAATGTTACTCTTGTCTGGGAATTCTAACAACTTCAGGACTGATGTATGGATTCTGAAATATATCTATCAGAGCAAATATATATCTTTCAAATGATTTTAATTATTATTAAAATAGTTATTTTAACAGCAGTAACAGTAACATCAATAAAAACAGCAAAAGCATTCAATAGGAGTTTTTGTAAGGGTAGCAACAACAAAAATAATTACAACAGTAACACTGACATTAACAAAAAATTAACAACTAACACAACAGCAAAAACAACAACTCTCACTGTGTACTTTTTATACATTATACATGATGACAGTAGCAGCAGTAAGAAAGTGACAATGATTATGACAATAAGAAGAAATAATAATAAAAATAATGTATAATAAAAATGATAGACTGATAAATAAATATTAATTGCGGTAAAGCTAAAATTACTCATTTTATACCTTTGCAGTGGTGGAACCAAAATTGGGTAGCCTGCTTGTTTTAGCATAGAGAATATGCGTATGGTGGCTCCAAAGAATGACAAACGTAGGACCATGTCACTGATTTTACATTTCGTTTTTTATTAGGCCACTGTCAATTTTTATTTGTTCTGTTTGTTTTTTGTGTAATTAATTGTGTCTATGTCTATTTAAATTCTTAAAAATTCTCAATATCAGCACATTTGTTATAAATATGTCTGTGTGGTATGATACTTATACATCTAGATTCCCACTGGAATCAAAATTCTCCTGCTAATTTATAATATAATATATATTTTAAAAATAATTGTACACACCCATTCGAAATGTTTTCACTCCATATCAATAAAGTTTTATTATCTACAACTATTTTTATTGTATCAATAATATGTTTACCTCCAGTGACTCCAAAGCCAGATCTGCTGGGTTGTGGTATGTAATCTTTTTAGGATACCGGGCCTCATTTTCATGTAGTGACCTTGCAGCCTACAGTAAAGAGGAGAAATTTCAAATATATTAATTACTGAACTTAATACTATGTTGATAATAAAAGAAAATAATTTTTTACTATTATTTGAATATTATTCAGCTGCCTGCCAACCGAGCACCTACCTATGTTGCTCCAGACTACCTCTGCCGTATGATAAATAACATGCAGTCGGACAAACGTCCTAACACTAGGGTCATCACAAACAGTAATTAGTTTGTTCCTAAACCTAAATGTGAATTATTTAAAAATTGTTTTATTATAGAGCTCCGTTATATTTAAATAGAATTCCTAATTTTATTCGTCTGTTGACTTTTTTTCCTGTTTTCAAATTAGGGCTAAAGAATTTCTAATTACTTCACATTTTACACATTGACAATTATGTAAATAATTTTTTATTTATATTTTTCTAAATTTTAACAAATTTTATTGTATTTTTAATGCATGAAGGGGCCCCAAATGATCAGCTTTGCTGGATAGGCTACCCTCCTTAAACATGGTTATAAATAAATAAAATAAACAAATATTTTGGGGCCACTATCTTGGACATGGACTCTCAGCACTTAGTTGGCTCTGGCATAGAAAATGTGAATCCTACTTTTGTTCGTGCCACCTAGGTATGGATTGCACCAGGGCAGAGGTAGTTGGCTGACCCTTAGAGACTTAGTGATGTTTGCTACTACACCATATTATATTATTGTTATTTCATCAAGATTTTAGTTTTATAATTTGATGAAAAATGCAGAAGCACTGCACAGTACACACTATATAAATTATTATTATTATTATTATTATTATTAATATTATTATTATTATAATGCATGGCAAAGCGTGACACATACCATAAGAGTGGATGTGCAGGAATCATCCAACTATGGAACGAAATCTGCTGTGGATTGTCTGGCAAAAATAGAGCAAATTGTATAACCCAGAGATGAGAAGAAATCATATAACCACGATAATATGAATTTGTTTTACTCTTACTTTACTCTTACCTTCTCATAATAGTCTAGATAGACTTGTGGAAGTGCATGTTCCTTTTCAGCTATCTTGCCCAGCATGTAATAGACCAACCACTCTTCCTCCTCTCCATCCCCTTCACATTCACTTGCTCTCAAGTAACACTTCTTTGCTTGCTTTAATAGTTCACATTTCTTGGTTGTGAGAAATTCTTCTGTCTCTGCCGAGATTGTGCCCTGTTCATGTAGCTTCAAGAAATATAATGACAGTTTGAACAACCTTCGCTTAATAATTATATTATGTAAATTTAATATTGATAAATTATAACAACATCGCTCAAATACAAACATATTATAATAGTATCAAACATAGCCCTTCAACGAAAAAAATAAAATAAAAATTCAGATGAATGAAAAAAATACTCTATGCTCTATATGATATTTTACTAATAAGGATGATAAAATTACATAGAAAGAAGACACCACAAAAGTACAAAATCAAGTTATTTTATTATTGATGAGGTTCCTAATACAATGATTAGCAGTAAGATGTTTTATCACACTGTTTTAAGACAAGAAAAATAAAAAATAATGGAAAAGTTGTTAAGTCTAGCAGACTCTACAATTCTATCGCAGATCTCTGCGAAACGTTTTAATCTGATGGGCCCCTAATTTTCATAGACCCTAAATTGGGGACCACTGGCTTAAAGGACAAGTATAGAATGGGAATAAAAAAATATAACCAAGATAACTATAATTAAATTTTATACCTGCTTTAATTTCCTTGATGAATAAGCCTGCATCATGTAAGATAATGATCCATATTCCATCCACAGTGTTGAGTTTGATGCATCAATCTCAAGTGCCCTTTCAAAACATCTGGCTGCCGTTGAAGCCTGCTTGTATATTGTGCCTTCAGACTTGGAGTCACACTTATTAACATAGAAAACAAAAGATAAATCACTTTTTAGACTTGTAATTATATATACAGTATATGTGTACAGTATATATA